GGTTCGAAAATAGTTGATTTAAAGTGTTTTAGACTATGTCTGGTAAAATCTGGAAAATCTTTAAGTCCAATCTTTTCACTAATTATCTAACTTCTCCTAGATGCTGCGCCTCTTGCGATAAGTCAGTGCAGTGGGGTATAGTCTTTCTTCTGGTTATGCAGTTACAGTTGCATGACTATACACAATCTCGGCTCTAGCGTCTCCGTGGTCAAGTCGATACGGTACAGATGAGAGCGCAGATGACTAAGACCGCTTAGGTAAGGAAAGTCAAAATGGTTACTGCGTTCAAAGCTTACACTGTGACGTAAGCGGCACTGGCCTGGTGGCTAAATTCAAGCAACCTGTTCTGACAGCATCATGTGAAAGCATATCTCCCGTAACCATGCTAATTGCAAAGGAGGATTGCTGGTACATCCAGGGGACTGAAAACTTAGCGAACACTTAGTGGTTTTAAAAACAATCGCTTGACGATCTCGTCGTACGCTAATGTACCATTCTAAATAAAATTTTTTACCCAAAAGTAGTTATGGAGTTCCATTTAAGATGCCAGCTCTTCTTTGACCCCAATGATGCCGACTACTACTCACTCACTCACACGCACACACACATGCATACAACTTCGCCACAAATCCGTGTATTCGTTTCAATTTTATTGCAATGAAAAATGTCCAATTTGGGGGAGTATCTACCCACACATCGAATACCCACAAAAGGGGTAATAAAATAAAATTTCATAAATAAATCCAAAAAACCAAAAACAAAAAAAAAATCAGAGAAAGTATGCGCCAACCGAAAACAGGCATGGAACTTTTGGTTGGTCGGTTGGTTGCTTGATTGGAGCCACAGCTCCACCAGTTTGTGGGGGGCTGATACCCATTTGTGTTGGAATTCTGTGGCATTCAGTGAGCACTCGCACACACACACAAACACTCAAATAAAGCAACACCCGACGATAGGAGCTGCACTAGCAATGGCAACGAGAATATGAGAGCATCTCTGTACGGGACACTAATATATACTATTACCACCACTACTGGTGCCACAAAGTGCCACCACAGCCATATAGTCAACTGCGGCAACAGCTCGACCGCCCAACCGCAGTGCAACGCAGCGCAGCGCAGCTAGAAAAATGCTGGCAGTGGCAGACCCAACGAACGTAGATAGGTAATAAGACGACGGCAATTCACAGGCAGATAGACAGATAGACAGACACAGCGTGCGAAAACTGATGATGGGTCTGTTGGCGACGACTTGAACTTCACTTGCTCCTCCAGAAAGAGCAACAGCAGTAGCTGCAGCAGCAATGCAGATGTGGTGGTGGCTGTGGCAACAATTGTCGGAGGCAGTAACAGTGTCACTTACCAAACTATGTGTGCGCGCGCGTGTGTGTGTGCGAATATGTGAAAGCAAAAGCAAGAAAGCTTTTTGCGGCGCACCAATTGGACCACGTTATGCCCCGTCGGCTCCACCGCCAACAACCAACAAGGCATAGGTCATATATATGTATGTATGTACGTACATATTTTCATGAGTCTGCTAGACGGGTGTATTCGTGTATGTGTATTAGCCAAAATACCAACGGCGGGACGGCAACGATGATTTCGAGTGAACCAACTCAGCTACCAACAACATGAGAGACGAAAACGACAATGGCAACGGCAGCGACAACGAAAACGACAACGATAACGAGACACCGACGACCCATATTTGCACAAGTTGTTGCATACATACTTATTCACACACAAATTATCGTATATGTTAATGTTTTTGCTCAACACCGAGCATGTGTGCATGTGTATGTGCACGCATGTGTTTGTGGTAGCCCCACTCTCACCCACCCACCCACTTATTGCCCTGCCTCGCCAACACCATTTGTATACACAACATTACCACGAAGAAGGCTTACAAGGCAGCCGAAGTATGGCGAGCCAAGTCAACCCCCACCCCCTGCTTGATCTCTTTCTATCTCTCTTCCTTGCTTGAGTGTCGTGTGCTCCAACCCCTTGCGGGACATAAGAACACAACACAAACTGCGACCAACGTGGCTAACCCTTTATCGCACATGGGTTTCCTTACAGGACCGCATATTTAGGTTTTAGTGGGAGTGCAAGCAAAGCCACTGCCTGCCATTGCAAACTTGGCTAATATGTACATTGACACACACACACACACACATACACATATACACACTCATGCAATCGCACGCATACCTATGCATTAACTAAAGTGTTGTACTCGTATTTCTGTGGTACTGGCGGCAGACTCTTTGTCGCACTGCATTATCCGCTGAGATGGATTTGTGCGGTTGTAGAGTCGGCATGTCGATAAAGCTGTTCGTGTGATAGGGATTATTCGATACACGACGTTTTGGTTTGTTGGAAAAAAATATAAAATACACATTTTTTGAGGGCAAAACTTGTACTTGTAGTAGCTGCCAGTCATTTGCGAATTTTTACTACTTTTGAGAAATTTTTAGACTGTAGCATAAGAAATTAGTTTAAAATGCTTTGTTGATAATCAAAAGTATGATTGTGGTTGTGCGTTGAGTTTTGTGATGACCACGCTAAATAAAAGAAGAACTATGATTTGGGGGACTGGCGGACAGTAGTACAGAAGTGGAATTTACTGCTAAAAAAATAGTCCAGAGTCTTAATTTTTGAATGGGCTAGAAAATTGCACCCCTAAAATTTTTCTAGAAATTCTAAACAAATATTGGCTCGGATTTAGCGAGCTCGAAAGAACAACTGGTACGATGAGGAATTTCAAGAAGCTGCAGAGAAAAAAGGGCCACGCTGCTGTCGGGCGCAACGCGAGCAATATGGGACCGTTATATTAACTGAAGAGGAAACCGAGACGTATTTTCCGCAATAAGAAGAGGCCGAAATACGTGAGTGCAAAGAGCTGGAGATGCTGGCCGATAGGAAAAACACCCGAGAATTTCATCAGAGAGAATTGCGACTTAGGGAAGGTTTAAAGACCAGGGCGAACTCCTATAAGAACAAAAATAGGGACCTAGTGACTGATGTCCAGAACGTATTTAAATTAGGGAGGGAATACTCTTCCACCGTGCTGAATGGTAGCGGCGCGGAAAGTAGTGTAGAAGACGGACCCGAGTCCCCAGTCGATGACGATGGAGTCGATTTCACACCGTCTGACTATAACGAGGTACAAATAGCGATTATGTGGCTGAAAGACAACGAAGCTGTTGAAACTGACGGCCCGCCAGCCGAGCTGTTGGACTACGGTGGCCAAGAGATGAACGCATGCCAGATGCCTGGAATTTAAGTGCGCTCTGTCCGATTCACGAGAAAGGCGATCCCGCCATACGCGCCAACTACCGCGGGGTCAGCCTTTTAAGCATGGGAATTATCGAGTGTATTGTGTGAAAGACTGAAGCCCACCGTTGGCAATCTCATTGCACCTTATCAGTGTGGCTTAAGAGACTGCAAATCCACCATTGACCAAGTATTCATAATATGCCAAATCTTGGATAATAACCACGAGAAAAGGATCGACACTTTAGATGTATGCCATGTATGAGTCGACTAGATGATTTGTCGATTTTAAAGCCGCATTCGACAGCACTAAAAGCAGTTGGCTATGCGCCGCCTTGTATGAATTTGGTATCCCCGCCAAACTTATTAGGAAGGACCACCCCGAGCCATTTGATACCAAACGAGGTTTCAGACAAGGTGACTGCCTTTCATGCGATTTCATTAATATGATGTTCGAGAAAATAATAAGAACCGTAGGAACTGAACCGCTCAGGAACAATTTACAACAAGAGTGACATCAACAAGCAAAGCGAATGGGTGAGTAAACTAGGACAAGACGAAGTATCTCCTGTAATCAAACAAACAGTCAGCACATTCACGTCTTGGCACTCACGTCACTGTTAACAGTTATAATTTCGAGAAAGTGGAGAATTGCGTTTACTTGGGAATCAGCATTATCACCGATAATAATGTCAGCATTGAAATTCAATGCAGAATCACTCTCTCCAATAAGTGCTACTTTGGACAGAGTAGGCAATTCTGAAGTGAAGTTCTCTCTCGACATTCGAAAACCACTCCCTATAAGTCACTCATCGTTTCCGTGCTGGTATATGGCGCAGAAGCGCGTTGGTGACGGCGAGTACCGCATATCGATGAGCTGTATGAGCTTTACAACGATATTGACATAGTGCAGCGAATTAAATACAGCGGCTTGGCCATGTCGTTTGAATGGATAGTGGCGCTCCAGCTCTGAAAGTATTCAAATTGGAACCCGCTGGTGGTAGCGCGTGGTTTGTGGAACTCGGCCAAAATCGCTTAGGCGGTTATACCGCCAAATAAGAAGATGAAGATATTTGAAAGTATTTATTTATGGTAGAGTACTGGAATTTAGTATGGAGAATCTCATTGGAGATATAAAAAATCAATTAAATAGATACTCTTGCAGAAAAAAATGTTTTTGGAAAAGGGAGCGTAACAACTCCCAGACAATTTGATTTTCATGGAGGTGTTTATGGCAGAGTACTGGAACTTGGTACCAAGATTTGTGTATAAAATCTTTCCAGTTGCCATGGAGAAAAATATGAGTTACTAAGCTTCGCGAGGATAAAGATAAATTATATTTTTGCTCGCATTTTCTAGCTAGCGCTAAGGAAGTTTAAGTCATTGAAATTAAGGCAGCTAATTCGGTAGCTGTATTTAATTCAAGAGTTGTTGTTTTCAGGTTTCCATGTCCTGCGTATTGAGTGCTTAGTAAGGCGGCCGAGGCGGTGTCTATTATTCTTTGCATTTTCTAAGCTCTTTCCAGAACTAGAATGGAGCTGTGTAGAAAAAATAACTTAAATATTATGTATTATATATAGTATAAATTTATTAAAGCTTTTTCCACATTACTCCATCAGCCCAAAAATCAACAGAATATTTATTTAAAACCTATTTGCACAATAAGCGCTTTGCAGATATTTAAATAAAATATTCTTTATCTCTCTACCATTATCCATCTTCCAGGTTTCGCACATCATCTCGTCGGAATGCATAGTCACTTGCATGCGCCCGATTGGCGTGCCTTGAGTGCCGTTGGCAACCCCGCTGCATTAGCTCGACCAGGTTTTCCGCACGGTGCGCCCTTTTTTCATCATCAACATCCCGCTTTTCAGGCGCACAGCATTGCCGGTAGTTTGGAGCGCCACGGACTGCGCTCTCTAAATGGTTTGTGACTTTAGAATCCCAAAAACCAAATTCAAGTCTAAATTTTCATCCATTTCCTCCCTTCATAGATTCCCATCACCATTTGACACAGTTGCGGCAGCTATCAACGGTGGGTGCGGCGCATAGTACTACCAGTCCGGAGGGTTCGCCCACAACGACAACCCACAATTTAGATGGACGGCCGCCGCTCACCACCTCCCCGCCTTTAACAACAACGAACAGTGATAACGATAATAACAATAATATTGATGCTGGTTTCGAAAGCGATAGCATTTCGGTGACGGGCTCGCCAAGAAAAACTTCTTCGCTACACGAAGACGACGATGGACGCAGCACTTCGCCGCCCTCGAATTGTGGTTCTGCCAGCGGTGGCGGAGGTGGTGGTGGCGGTGGCGGCGCTTTCACATCGCTCATACAACGAAATTCGACGCTGCGCAAGAATGAGCTCTTCACTGGATTCGCGTCACAATTCTCGCCCGCGGCCAGCAACTTTAATCCCGCCTTAGCAGCGCAACTTTTCTTGCAGAATCCGCTGCTGCCGCAGCCAAGCCAATGGCTGTATACACAGCTTTACGGTAACTACAGTGACTTTCCTTGGTTTCGAGGCGCTGGCAATGCCGTTGGTGATGGCTTGGCGCAACCAGTGCCGCCAGGTGTGCCACCCGCCGAACTGCCGGGCACAACTAGCCTGACAGCGACGGATGCGTGCACAAATGGTGTTAATTTAGTAAAACGTTGTGTAACGCTGATTTCACATTCGCCGGATGTGGAGAACGCAAATCCGAATGCTTCGCCGCCGGTCACTTCAACGCGCCGCTCACCATCCCCGGTGGAGACTATCGATCTGGACGATGTGAGTACGACATCGCGTACTGAGTTGGAATCTGGTGGTTTTGGACCAATACGTTGCCGTACTCCAAAGTCAACTGACGTGTGGCGGCCATACTAGCGGCTGCGTAACGCCATGGTAACGGCGTTGGGCTTAAAAGAAATGGCGGAGCAGGCAGAGGCAGAGGATGAGGTGGTAGAACTTGATGTGAAGCAATGATAAGTGTAGAATGATGTCGAAGTGGAACGGAGTGGAAGAAAGTAAAGTACAGTAAAGTTAGGTTGTTGTGCAGCGTTGCCATATCGTATTTTATTTAGATGCCGATAGGTCAATATGAGAAAGTGAGATTTTAAAGTAATTTAATGTAAAATAAGTTATTACTTGTACTGTTGTAGAGACAGAAATTGTACTGTTTTGTAAGACAAA